CTATCATCTAGTTTTGATTCTGGTTCTGTCTTGATTAAGTCCTAAGCAGTCCTGATTTTGAACTGTTGTAATCCTGTTTTAATTCTGGATCAGTTCTGGGTCTGGTTGAATTGGAGTTTAGTCCCTGTGTTGTGATACAGCCCAGACTTTGTTCTGCCTTGCTGCTTAATTATAAAACTGTTTAAGGTCTCCTGCATATGTGATATATTCTTTTTCCTATATGAAGTCATTCTTTTTTTGAACAAAACCTAAAACAGAGCACATTAATCTTTCAGTCATTTCTAACACCCCACCCCACCCCCCCACCCCCCAAAAAGAAAAAAAAAATCCCACATGCATACTACCCTTTAGGACTAAGCCCTGGGTATATAAAATGTCGACTCCCATTGAGCGAGAGCCGGCTCCTCACTTAATTTCCTTTCGCTGCTCAGCTCTCGGACATTGGCTCAGCTGCGCTCCAGTCCCTCCATATTGTGGCCAATCACATGCGAGAATATAGGATATTATCATTACATGAAAAACAGAGAGGGTGATGGACGCGACAGTCAAGTGGAGCGTGTGTCTGTCCTCTCAGTAAGTGAGTGAGACAGTAGACAGCTGTGAGGAGAGCTGTGGAAAAGCAAAAACACATAAATATGCCTCACACCCGTAAACGAAGCAGCATCTGGCTGCAGTTTAAAGACTTTTTTTTGTTGCGGTCTTGGTCTTGGTCTTGGCTCGACAGGAAGAGAGCAAACACTTTTTCACACCACAGTATTTCAAAACTATTTGCTGCACTTTTTTTCTGTCAGGAAATAACAGATGACGTTACTGTGGTTTTTCAAATGAAGCACAAAATGCCACTGTGCATTAGCCTGTGCGTGACTTGTTTATAAGAAATAAAATACCAAATTAACCACTCTCCTGTTAATATAGCACATATACAGCTGTGCCAACTCATTCTCAGTTAAGTCTGGTTCACTGACCTTCATTCATAGAACAAGTGTTACCTCTGTAACCATTTCTTTTATTTCATACTTGTAACCAAGCCACCACTGTTACATTGATGGTGCTTGAAAATGAACAAAACAGTCAAGCAAATAAAGTCAGGAGAGACGTGTACCAAGGCTGCAAATCTCATGACACACGTAAAACAGTAAAGGATTCATTGACAAAGTGAAGAAAGAAAAGTGAAACTGGAGCAAAGAGGACCACATGTGGTTCTTATTCACACACATTTGCACACATTGCATGCAAAAGCCCCTGATTTCACAAATCAGATTCCTTTTTATTCAGTTTTTTATTCAGACCTTTTTTCAGAAAGACCACCAAATCATAACTAGTCAGCACCGTCACAGTAAAATCTTATGTTACAAAATCCACTGGCCCACAGATGATTGCTTGTCTGATGATCATGCAGCAAAGCCAAATCCCATGAAAAATGTAGCCCAGGTTTGCCAATACACTCAGAAAGTTACATTGGTGTACTTGGTTTACATTTTCTATGGGCTTTGAGCAAGGCTAGGCTGCACTTTTTGCTTAGGAATCAAAATCAGCATCTAGCCAGGGAACTTTTGGCCACTCTCCATGAAACACACTTTATTGTTCAAAACTTTTTTTCAACAAGGTGACCCTCAACCATCAATAAAGTCACTCTGAACAATATAAATTCTTCCTGGAAACTCTATGTTACTATCTGCTTTGAATAAATCTCACACATTTCAGTGATAATGAACACATTTTCTTTATTTGCACTGAATTAACTTACTTCGTGACTAGTTTGTCATGAAGTTCTAAATATTAAAAAGTTAACAATACAACTATAATTGTAATGAAGATGTAGCATTTTTCATAATTCATATTTAGTATGATCCAATCAAATACTACTTGCATTTTCACAGTTACAGAGGAAGCCACAGTCAAATTCTGAGTAAAATAAACAAATAATAACCACTTCCTTCTGAGCTCTTCAGATAAATTTGTGAACCTCCTTTGAACACATCATCTTTGGTCCTTGGAGAGAGTCACAGAGCTTCATTATGGTGGCTTGCGAAAGACAGCTTCTAGGCCTCGCTTTGGCCTGCATCGCCTTCGTGGGAAGCATCATAAGCTGTGCTCTCCCTGCATGGAGAATCATGACAACCTTCAAAGATTTCAAAATGATTGTGGAGGGTTTTTGGAAGCGCATGGGGTACGAGTATATACCGTTACCTGAAGTAATGAAGGCTGCCAGAGCACTTATCATCATTGCCATTATCATTGAGGTCCTTGGGATCCTGCTTGGTGTGGCTGGGAGAAATTTTATGAACTTCGTGCCAGACGAAAGGCAAAGGAGCAAAATGACTCTGACTTCTGGAATTGCCTTCCTCATTGCAGGCTTCTTTTTTCTCATACCAGTCAGCTGGACCACCAACACCATCAATGATCATCTGCTACTTAAAAAGATGGAGTTGGAAGCGGCGCTCTACATTGGCTGGTTCACCACCGTCCTTCTGTTCCTGGGAGGAGGCCTCGTCTGCAGCTCCTTTTTCCGCAGAAATGGAACTGAGTAAAACATTACCCCAACTCTGTGTAAGCAAGGCCTTACTTATCGCTTTTAAAATAAGGCCCGTTTTCATACATCGAGCAGTTTTTTGGAAATAAGAAAAAAGGTTTTATGAAAGTTTTCACCTTAAGTTTGTCAGTGGAATGAGTAGATTAACAAAGTATAAAATCAGATTAAAATAGAAAGAAATCTTTACAATTTGATTGTGTAACTTGCTTCTAAATGTATTTTGAGGTATCCTACACCATTATAACCACCTTTCCTATTTTATTTTTTTTTCATTTATTCTTTTTGTTATTTACTCTGTTGCATGGAGACAGACTTTACTTTTTTTGGGTAAACTGCTATGATTTCTGACTATGTATCCACTGGTTTAAGTCTATGTTATATCTTTCATTACCATCTCTTTATTAAATTGACTCAAAATTGATGATCATGGAATTGTTTTTACATTCTTAATATAAATATATTTGATTGATTGTTTACAAGTAAAATTGATCTCAAATGAAAATAATATTTCTGAGCATGTAAAATAATCTTTTGCATCTTTTTTTTGTGTCTTTTTTTTTGTTTGTTTGCTTGTTTTTGTTTTGTTTTTCTTAAAACAGCTCAATAGGGCACCGGTTAGCTTTAAGCGGGCAATCACATGCCAGTGGCCAGCCAGGTTCGAGTCCCCTCGCAGCCCTTTGCCGCATGTCTTCCCCTCTCTCTGCCCCTGCTTTCCTGTCCTCTTTACACTGTGCCTATTGAATAAAAAGTTGAAAAAGGCCAAAAAGAAATATTACAGAAAACGGTCAATAACATATTATGAATGACTTAATAAAAGACTCATCATTTGAGAGTTTCCCATTTTAGAATAAAATGACAAGATGTTAACAAAGACCACACTGCCAAACTTGACTCGGTGTGTTTTTAAGTTTACAAATGATACATTAAAAAAGACAACTAGGTTTTTAGGTTTTTAAGTCGTGAAAGACAAGTCAGAGTTGACAAAGTGTCAGTTTCTGTACTTCAACACATCTGTTGTGTCAAACAGTAACTACCAAAAGGATTTAGTTTAGACTGGAGACTGTTTTTTTTGTTGAATGTTGTCATAAAATTTTTAATTACAAATAATACTGAATTATGTTTGTGGGCAATACTTTGTCTATGGTGTAATAAATGCTATTAAGCTTATTGAAAATGAAGATTAGTGTTTGTTTGAGTTTTTTTCCCCCATAAATTACCACTCCTGACTTATTAAAAAGAATAAATAAACTTGTTGCACGTTTCTTTTCTGGGGGGTTTTGTTGGGCTTAGTCCAGTCGGTTCGATTAGGTTTAGAGTTTAAACACAAAGTCTAAACCTAATCGAGCATCCCGTCTTTAATTTTAAGAGGTGTATTTTATTTCGAGGCTATCATCATTAAAGCCGATGTCAACAATGTTCTTTGGTTCACCGAGATTTCTTTTCCGCAGGCTTTTTTGCGTTTTTTTCTTCGAGACAGTTGTTTACTTCCATTTTACTGAAAACTGAAAGAAAATCTAGGAATTTATGTACATTTAATTTATTTTAATATATTTATCAGTATATTTGAGAATAAATGTAAATATATGTGTGAAAATCTAAAGAAAAACAATCACGTGTACTTGTAATGGTGTGAAGATATATTCACATTTCTCTAATTCAGATTAAATATATTTGCATTACTCTTTATATTGTAAGATAAAAACACTACACTAGTAACTGACACAAGCACTGCAACACTACACTTTTATGCTAACAACAGCTTGTTGAAGGAATACTCCTGACTTTCACCTGCGCAAACCGTGCTCATCTTAAAGATTCAGAAGCTAAAACAATGCACTTCAGACCTAAAGGGAATAAAAATGCCTCCGTCTTTTGCTTCATTTGCCTTCAGGTCTCTGGTTTTACAAATAAAATAATGTTAAAAGCACAGTGACACCCCAAAGACAAAATCATACTTGGTAGTACACGCCTAGTCTGTCTGGGTTAGGTTTTCTTTTCTTTCTTTGTCTCTCTGCACTAGCTCCATTTCCTGTAACTGCCAGTTGGTGTTCCTGTTCTTGATCTTTTCTGATGGTCTGCCCACAGGAGGTGTTAGGATGCCTGGGTCGTTGACCCAGGGCTTTTGAGTTTATGATATTATTTATAATTTCTAGTCTTTGGGTTTTTGTGAGTCATGTCTTATGGTTTGTCTCTGTGTAATCCTTGGTTGCTGTCTCCCCTGTCTGCTGTATTCCCGTGTCCAGTCTGTGTCTGCCCTGGTCCCACGTCTCTGTTCCCTCTGTTGTAGTGCCTGCATGTGAGTCTGT